ATTGGAGATTCTTCCAGAGTCAAGTTAGAGTGGGAAAAAGTGAAGACGAATATCTGAGTCCAACTGATGGATGTGTCTATAGTGCAGCGAGGGGAGGGTTTGGAATTCATGGAGTGTTTAAAGCAGGGGTGAGCAAATTACGGCCCACGGGCCAGATCTGGCCTTTCAGGGCTTTGGATCCTGCCCACGAGATTGCAACCCCATGGCGCCACAGGCCCCGTGCCGCTCCCAGAAATGGCTGGCACCACGTCTCTGTGGCCCCTGGGGGGGGGGAGCAGAGGGTTCCGTGCGCTGCCCCCGCCTGCAGGCACTGCCTCCCACAGCTCCCATTGGCCAGAAACGGGGAACCGCGGCCAATGGGAGCTTCGGGGGAGGTACCCGCAGATGAGCGCAGCGCGCGGAGCTCTCTGGCCCCACTCCGCCAGGGGCCGCAGGGACGTGGTGCTGGCCGCTTCCGGGAGCAGCACGGGGCCAGGGCAGGCAGGCAGGGAGCCTGCCCTGGTCCTGGTGCACACCACTGCCACCCCAGAGCTGCTCCAGATAAGCGGCTCTGGGCCGGAACCCACACCCTGAACCCTTCCTGCACCCTGCACACCATGCACCCTCCACACCCCACACTCCAACCCCCTGCCCTGAGCCCCTTCCTGCACACCGCACCCCCTCCCACACCCTGCACTCCCTCCCGCACCCCGACCCCCTGCCCCAGCCCTACATTCATGGCCCTGCATGCAATTTCTCCACCCAGATGTGGCCCTTGGGCCAAAAAGTTTGCCCACCCCTGGTTTAAAGCCTTCTGTGATTAGAGACTCATTGGTCTCCCCTTAGCAAATGGGATTCCAACTACCTGGGTTCAAAAATGTTAGTCCTTGTTAGGCAGGCTTAACCTGGTTAGGAAGGGGGAAAGGGCAAAGATGTTAGACACCCAAATTCTTGCAGGAGCTTTGCTTACTGGAAGAGGCTAACTTTTTGAGCCAGAGATCATAATGCTGTGCCTATTGCCACTTTTCCTACTTCGAATCTGGTAGCTCTTCGTTGTCATTCTCTGGTAGTTAATTTAGTATCATGCCTCACCCCAAAGAGGAAGTCTGCTGAGAAGCAGTGGCAGAGGTCTGTGGTGTGACTCTAATGTGATTGGAGGAGTCAGTGCAGAGACTGGGTTGCTGTCAGCAGCTGTGCGTTCCCCTTCATGCTCTGTAACTGCACAGAAATTGCTGTTGGGGCTGAGCAAACCACTGGTATTTCGCTGCAAGCTATTTTTACACTGACCATTGTAGCATAGGGAAGGCTGGAGGCAAAAAGGTTTCAGAGTGGTAGCCGTGTTAGTCTGTTTCAGCAAAAACAACGAGGCGTCCTTGTGGCACCTTAGAGACTAACAAATTTATTTGAGTATAAGCTTTCGTGGGCTAGAATCCACTTCATCAGATGCATGAAGTGAAAAATACAGGAGCAGGTATGAATACATGAAAGGATGGGGGTTGCTTTACCAAGTGTGAGGTGAGTCTGTCAACTATCTGTAATGGGCCACGCTCTTACCACTTCAAAAGTTATTTTTCCTCCCTTGGTATCCTGCTGTTAATTGATTTATCTCATTAGACTGACCTCACACTTGGTAAAGCAAGTCCCAGTCTTTCATGTATTTATACCTGCTCCTGTATTTTTCACTTCATGCAACTGAT